AGAAAAAAAATCTATTATTAAGAAAAAATTATAATATTAGAAACTTAATATCAATTATTTGCTCTCTAAAAATACTTAATTTCCATTAAGAACTCTCATTTAATCTTTAATCTTGTATTTTTTTCTCCCATAACTAGAAGCTTTCAATAGTTTTTAAGAAACTTTTCCTACATTATACATGGTTCAAAAGTCATTTTCAATACTTTAATTAAAAAGAAGAATCCTATGAAGGCACTCTCTCTTATTGCCCACATAAGGTTAGGTTATAACCACACCATATCACTTAGATTAGTGTTCCACTCACGTTTCCATCATCTTATCTCTACAATTACCAATAACATATATTTATATCAAGTTATAGGATTGGTTGTTATATAATAACATATAACGTATTTATATTAAGATTAGTAGTTCGGCTGCTATTAAAAGTCCTAATTACCTACTGTCTAAATTGAAGTCCACCGAAAAAGGGGAAACAGATCTCCTGGCACCAACCAAAATCTGGAGTCCACTGAAAAAGGTGCAAATCTTCACACAACAACCAAAATCTACCGCAACAATGAATTACCTTTTATTTTATGCTTGAGCGTCCGGCACCTTAAGACTTGCTGCCCTTTTTTCCCTCTTTGCTCAATTTTTTTTCTTGAATTCAAGGCTAAATCCCAACACTTCTTTGTATCCAGCTCTTGAAGGCAATACAAATTCGCACCTGAACAATCCTTTGCAAAAGTTTTAATCAAGTTTCCTCTGCAAAAGTTGCCCAAAAACAATATTCCTCTTCGTCTACAGTTCAAGGTCTCTCTTATCCTTTCCAGAAACCTTAGTAGCAACAGCACGATGAGATTGAAATATCAAAGCACTACATATCACACCACTCTGGGATTAAGTTCATATTGGTAGCTAGTATAAGCCTAGACACTAGATAATGTTAATTTTGGCTTAATTTGATAATGTTAGTCTGTAATTGTAACTGTAGGATTTTTTGTTCTTTAATATCTTAAAAATATATTTTATATTTATTTTAATTAATATTTTATATTTTTTTAAAATAATAAAAAGACACAAAAACTAAAAACTAAAAGATCTAATGCATTATCATACAAAGCCTTTGTCTAAGCCTATATATGTTTTAAAAATTACAATTTTAAAATTAACTTGGTGATGATTTTGGAGTAGACAGTTCAAATGTAGTCAAAGACCTTTTTGGCAATGCTTATCTTTTTAATTGATTCTGTTACAATCTCACAATCCTTTTTCCTCCAATGGAATTTGCAGACGGTAGCCAACATATTTGGGTAGGATAATTGGCAGAGCATTTACACCCTTCCATATACTCATGAGTGCACTTCTTCATGCGTTGTGCTGATCCTGTCATCTTGCATCTCTCTCTTCCCATCTTCCTCCTTTCCATAGATTTATTTATTTATTTATTTACGAGTAACAATTGAGTCAGCTTCCAATGTGCCTTTCTGTTTGGACAGTCAGGTAAAAAAAAAAAATGTCGCTTTTCTGTCCTTTATTATTAAGTAATTGTACTAAGCCAAGATCCCGCAGTTTCTTGCCTTCTCCCTCATGGAGTCAAGTAAGTGAACCTGTGCCTGATACAATTCTTTATTTGCAGAGCTGTGTGTTCAAATATAACTTTAATAACATATCCTTAATATCATACAATTGACATGCTAATTGTTTTATTTATTTCTTGTAATGAACAATATAACTGGGTTACCATTCCTCTAAATTTTTTCCAGCAATAAGTGAGCATTTTTTGTAATTACAGAACTGATGTAATATTAATTTACTACACAACTAAGAGGGAATCTGAGATGAAACTTTCTGATTTACATTAAATCATGAAAACAATACACTCAAGGTGACATGCATACAGCTTCTAGAAATATTTGCATACAAAAATCTTTTAGAAAAGTTGTTTCCAAAGGAGTCTCCCTTGATAAACTGTTACTTGAAAAATCCATAACTTTCAGAGAGTAAAGGGTCATGTTTTCTTCACGGAACTGACCTTTCAACACAACAGATACATCCTCGAGAAAATAGTCAATAGTCAGAGGAGAGATATCCAACTGGACAACGCCTTACTCTTCCATTAAGACCATGGCACTTAGATTACCAACACACCTTGGAATGCTTCCTGAAAGATTGTTATGAGCAAAATCCAGGATTTGGAGAGAACGGAGTGCACACAGGTTGTGTGTTATGTATCCCCGAAGCTTGCTTGAACGAAGGCTCAAAGATTATCAGATTTGTGAGGATTATACCAACCCAGGGCGGGATGTTCCCAACTAATTCATTTTCAGATAGATCAAGTACCTGTAACTCGGTGCAATTTCTCAGAGAAAAAGGTATTTCTCTCGAAAGGTGATTTTTGTGAAGATGCAATGAGGAGAGGCACTTGGAATTCCACCAGGAAATCTATTTTTAGCTAATATTATGGTCTCCAGACATGACCACTTGCTCCAATAGTTTGGTAACTCTCCATATAAAGTATTTTTGCCAAGATTGAGAATCCCCATTGGCATTATTTCATTCATTCCGTGACACAAAAAGTGGGTATGGAACCAGCCAAGCCATTATTAGAAAGGTCTAGAAAATACACATACAAGGAAACTAGAGGTAATGGATCAGTGAAGCTATTTGAGCTGAAATCAACAATAGTGAAAAGGGAAGAATCCCTATTAGCACCGGTATTTAATGTCTTTGGAAGCTGCCCTTGGAATTGGTTGTGAGAGAGATTTACATGTATAAATTGAGATGAAAATTTCCAAAACCAACTAAGAATGGTTTCTGAAAATTTTGAGTCAGAGATATCTAAATATCTTAAATCTCTTGGAGATTGAAGCCAAAGCGGAAATCGTGGACCTACTTGCCAACATCCTAACTGTAAAGCTTGAATTTGAAAAGGAGGGACCCAAGCATGATTGACTTTCAAAGCAATTGAGTTACCAACATAAGGAGAGATTTTAATTTTGTGAGGTT